CTTCTTGAGGTTCGCGAACACCTCATGCTTTCGCATTAGCGTAAGAGCCTTTCGGACGTGGATTCTATGAACCTCCACGTCCGTCATTCCATCCATAGCCCGGATTTGGACGAAGACATCGTCGAAGTAACTCGGCGCGAAGTCGCGCACCGATCGCAACAGATTCGTAACATATCTGTTAAACGTTGCGGGGGCGTTACTTAGTCCCTGTGGCATTACTAGCCACTCCCAGAGCCTACCACCAGGGGTGCTCAATGCTGTGTAAGGGATATCCCATTCACGCATGAGGATATGATAGAATCCATCCATCAAATCCATGGATGAAAAAATGTTCCTTTTGCCATACCATGTATGATGACATCCTTTCTTGGGATCGGCGTTTGAGCCGGTACCGTTGAAGCATTCAATTTGTTGAACACGTGCACTATCCGCCACCCTACTGTGACCTTTCGCACACAGAAGGTCGGAGAGCTGTGTGTAAGGATGTTGATTTGCTCATATGAATATCCGCTAAACGATCGGCAAAGAATTTGTCGATCTCTGTAACGTGTTCATGAGGCAGTGGCCATTCCTTCATGACACAGCTGTTCAAACCGGGTTTCAGCTTGATCTCCTGCTGAGTGCCTTTGTCCTTAGGCAGCTCGCATGGCACGGATTCAGGGAAAACATCCCCGAATTCTACTAAATCCTTATAGAAAGGAATTGTCTTTAAAGTCTCCCAAGACTGAGACGTGTATCGATCAATATGGGTCTTCTCATCGAGGACACTCTCGTCCATCGATGAGATACTGAAAACCCGTTCGTTATCAGCAAACACTTGTGCCGACCGAATATCGGCGACGTAATCGTCCTCTCTGACGAGTACGCAGATCTGCTTGATCTTGTCTTTACGCATATCTCGGGAAGAATTTTGTAGATTCTAGCGTTGACAACTTGACTGCCTCCGAAGCTGACTTTGGGGGCGTACCCAGATCAAGTGTATAAGCGCCTACACTTGATCAGTCATTCACTAAGACATTTACTGTTTCGGTGATTTTGGAAACACATCCATAGGCGGTTGGGGATCTACACCCTCAACATCACTCTCTCGGGATTTATCACTCCCAGGAACGCTGGAACTTTCTTCCAATACGTGTACTGACTGTGGGTGCACTACCACAGTCAATTCCTCTTCGATCGACTCTCTCTCAGTCCATCGGCCTTGCTTTACGATCGAATATCTGATAGTCGACCTCGCTTCAACATGTTTTTCGTTCTGAACAACACTAATCTTTCTTCTTGGATGCGCCCTGCTTGGTGTGCATCCGTGTTCCAGTTCACTCGATCTCTTCGAGTGGTGAACTTTCGGCGCAGCCTGTCTCTTCACAGGTGCCGGAAGCTGGTTCCACAGTGTAGTGGCCTTCTACACTTTGATCTTGTCCAATCGTACTAACGACCGTACCACAAGTGAGGCCATCGCACTCACTCGTAGTACATTCACACGCCCGCTTGTGGACGCTCCAAGACGTTCATCAGATGGCCATCCGATGAACAAAGGGCCGGCAACTTCACGGATCGATGCTGCCAGCTGACCCATGGCTGTTTTTTTCGAAGCCATGGCAGACCAAGGATGACATGAACTTTTTCATCCAAATAAAGTACGATAGAGTCATCGTCGTACTGCTTTTCTTCTATCGTGTAGTGGATTCCCACTGCACGTTTGTTCACTGTTACAGATGCGCCTGTAGCAAGGCACACCGTCATCCTCGTTAAAGGGAACTCTCGCTCAACATAGTTGAGACTACTATCCCTTAGCGACTGGCGTTAAATAAAACTGTTCGACGCCCCAAAGTCAACTAGGGCGCGAAGTGACATTCCACTTGTCACTTCGATCTTCGAAGTGATGAGAGACTCCTCATCACTAGGGGCAGTAACACAGCGACTGTGTGTTAGGAGCAATCTTCGTCAAGAGTCCTGCAAATTCTCTTGACGTTGCTGAACCAGCAGGGTGCTCCGCCCCCTACTGCCCCCTGACCGTTTTCTTACGGTCAGACTTGCTGTAGCTGTTTAGCGACATGGTCGGACCCACGCCTCGGACCCTTCCTTGGCCAACGGCGGTCATCATGTCCTGTTTTCGGACGTGTTGCAGTGCTCGGGACACTACACTCATGAGCGTAGTGTCCAATCTTCTGACAGCGATGTCATATTGCCGTTCGTTTGATACTCAGAGAGCGAGAGTTCTTGCTCTCGATGTAACAGAGGTCCATTGGTTCGGGACCTTCTGTTTCCTGTCGCCTCGTCGGACGATAGTTTGACTAAGTAGCCTGAGACTGTCTCAGGCTGAAGTCTTCTTGTTCCGCATACGCTATCGCCCTTTCCAGCGTGTGGAAGTCCTCTCGGAACATGTAGGTCTTCACCGGCCCATCCACAAGGCCGTAGATGAACACGTTGATGGGCGTGTGCTCACCAACAGGGTTCTCCGTAACGCTACTTGCAAGGTAGCGCAGGTGTTGTGCGTAAGCGTGCACGTCACGCTTACCTTGCTTTAGCCTCAAGAGTGCAAAGCGTGCTCTGAACCCGGCTCTCGTCGGCTCAAACATCTATTTAAGCCGAAAATTTAAGATCTCCAACGACTCAAACATGTTTGGGCCGTGAAGCTTGAGCCCTAAGGCCCAAGTCTTTGCACGTCCTGTCAAAATTAAAAGAGCGAAGGTGACTTGCATCTCGTCACCCTCGATGTGACGGGCCCTGATGGCATCGTCTAACTCGACGAACCATCTTAAAAGGGAATCGATGACGATTCCCTTGTACCTTAAGATATAAATCTTCAAGGTTTCGGGTCGACACATGTGCGTCGGCCCGCCCATCGAATGATAAAAACCTTGCTGCTGTAGCAAGGCTATCTTCTTTCGTTCGACGGCAAGTTCCCCTTGTAGTAACTTGTTGATGGCAGCATGTTGCTGGTCTCTGCTTAGAGACTCCAACATACCGCTGATGGCGGGTTCGCCCATGAGCACACTCATGCGGCCGAATACCTCCTTCTAAGTCAATCAGGTGGGAGTAGCCTTCACGTGTGACGAGAAAGCTGTCGTCTTCTACGTCCAACATGATCATGTTGGACGGACACTAAGTAGTCGTTGGACGGAATACGAAGTGCTACCAGGTGTAACGGGGTACCCTTTTGCTTGGGGTGCCGCGAGACTTCACGTAAACTAGTACGTGCAGAGGAAGCTATCTACTTGAACGACTCGGTCAAGTAAAGGTAAAAAAAGGAACTGTATTTAATATAGTTTAGCTATCAATACAACCTTAATCTTTATCTATCTAAATTGATCTGGATTGTCGTACGACGACAACCTGCTCACCACTCATTGCGCGCGTCTAGCAGCAATTGGAGGTAACTTATGGTTGATGTGTATTTCTTAACCAATCTTGGAGTAGCACATGCGTATTATCCAAAAGGGGTTAACATTCCTTCAATATTGTCTATCTCGGATAATATTGGTAGGAAATTGTCATGCTGGACAATATCCCTATTGACACCAAACGGAGTCAATGTCATGTAACGGGCCACCCGTTACACTAACTCCCTGCAGCGCTTGTAAAGCAGACGAGACAGACATCAAATCATTGCCAGCTGGGGTACTAGGCGGTCAGATTTGTGTAAATCTGCTTATTAAGGCGTTCACATGCCCACTGTGTAAATTTGTATTGACCTTCCTTGTTGATCAATCCAGCATTTTCTACGGTCCTCGCCTTGGACAATAGAAGGCTTGGCGTCATGAACATAATTGATTTAGTGGCATGCCGAGGACGTTAGGGAGCCGCTCACCAAATTCTATCAGCCAAAGAAGTGCTTATCGATTTCGTGGGCTGGAGCAACAGCTACAGGCGTGCCATTCATTGAAGCAAGCCGATACTTGAGCAAAATCAAGTCAACAATCACTGTTGGAGTATATTAGGGTACGTTAGGCTGTTGGTCTACAATCCGAGACTGATGCATTTCGCCCACGGTTGAGCTTAGAACCTGTTCGCCATACAAAATGACAGGATAAAGACCATCAGGTCAAAGGTGACGATTTCAATACAGATAAGAGGGGCTTGAGACGCAGCCATTACAACCGTCGGAACTGGCGGGCCACACCTAGCGCAATATAGTCACAATTGTTCTTAATACTGCCCTAGCTGCATCGTAGCACATTGCTATGAAAGTTCGAGCTGGCTTAAGGAATGGGTGGCGCCCAAACCAGAGAAAATAGGCCACACCAATACTTGGGTCAAGAGGCATTGGAGAAAACGAAATTATTGGCGGCCTAGAGACGGGCTGCGCACAAGAATATTCCCATTCAGTGTTGATGCCTTAAGAGACAGATGGGCTACACTGGTTTGCTGAGGGATCACTCCCACAATTTGACATCTGTTTTCCGATCGATCGCCGGACGTGTAACGGGGCACCCTGAAGCTTGTACTGGTGAAAGTACAAGCTACTTATTCTGATGACAGAATAAGGCGGTGCCTCGTAACTTCACGTACACTCGTACGTGCAGAGGAATCGGTGAGAAGAAGCGAGTACTTGGCTAAAGTAAAAAGTAGAACTGTATTTATAGTAGTTAATGTCTGCAATAAATCACTGTTTATCTTCATCTAACTATGTCTAAATACAAATGTGCACATCAATTAGCTGCTCACCACTCATTGCGTGCGTCTGTCGTGGCGCGTCTTCGTTGGTTGATGTAATGGCCCATGTCAACCAATTAGGAACTACTCGTAAGTGCTACATAATATTTGTCCTTATGACAATATTCTGAGAATATAACTCTTGTAGTTATATTCTATTAACAATTTCTTATAAATTGTTATGTAACGATTCACCCCATTACATCACCCCCCCCCACTTAACCATCGGTCACTTTAGTGACTGATTGACTAAATGGATACTCGTCCCAAATCATTTGGGACAGGGTTTGCACTTGTTGGTCCGAGTTCACTTTACAACATCTCCCCGCATGGTTAACAAGCCCATGCGATGCGCGAGCAAGGCCGCCGAGAGCGCGTCCGCACGTCTCTGTGCGGACGCCGAAGCAGTAACAACAGCAACTGATGTTTCATCGTTTGCTAAAAAGTCTCAGCCTGTGTCACCTGGTGATGCAGGCGCTGGTCATGAAGACACTCATGTCTTCACAGAGTACGAGCTCGGTGTCTCGTACTCTCCTGATACGGATGACGGATCCGTATCGACGGCAATTGAATCCAAGCCGCCTGCCAAGCGTGGCATGGACGATGCTTTGCGTCGCAGCATCTTTGGTTCATCTGATGAATCAGATGAACCATCGCCGAAGCGAAGGCGCTCGAGGTCGCGAGACTCGGGCGCTAATAGCGGTGTCGGTTCTCCTATTGACACCACTTCGCAACGAGGTGCCAGTCCTTCTGTCGGCACGTCGCAGGAAGAGCGGGACCGCAATGTCTTGCGTTTCGCTCCTGAGAAGAAGGCATGGATGCCTCCCAAATCCGTCATGGATCACTTGTCGGCGACGACGAGTGATCGTTATCGAACACGAGTGATCGTTATCGAACACGGTTGTTCGATTCGTCAAGGATCCATCACCTTGACCCCAACGCGAAGAACTATCGCGCTGAGAATGAGTTTTTGATCGATGCTTTCTTTAAACATCGATGGTACAGTGGGAATCACAAACGTGATGGTCCCTCACTACTTCAGGCGTGGAACGCCTACATCCATAACCTCGAGGATGTAGGTCGTGACGCTTGGAACGACAAACTTATCAAAGATCGTGATAAGTTTGAAAAGCAAACCCCGACAGGTGCACGCTACAAGCTGCATCGTCTGTCAAGGGAGAAGGGATTACCCTGCCTCTCTTGGGGAGACTCGTGCCCATGTTGTGTGAACAACTCTGCACGAGCACCTAAGGAGGCTTACCTCCTTACCAGCCCGTGGTGGCGCGTACGTGTCTCTACTGAGATGTACGAAGGGATTGACAACCTGAAATCCCTTTACGACCGTGCCGGGAAGACTTTCTCCGGCGGTCCTTCCGCGGCACAGGATGTGCCGCGTCGTACTGCTCAACCAGACCCAGTACGTCGATCGTCAGTTGGGAGCGGGGCTCCCAAGAATCTCAGGACGGGGGATAGCCGCGCCACCGGACGAGGTAACTCGTCCGACGTCCGTTCACGTCGCGGTGGTTCAACAGCTGCTCTACTAGATAGCGCTGGCCACCGCGAGAGTCCTCTAATGGAGGTGGAGGAGGAGGAAAGACGCTCTCCACACGATCATGTGGATCCGTGTGTTCCGAGAGCTTCTGTGATCGCGTAACGCAAGGGTTACGCGGTGATCTCGAACATGAGCGGGACAGGCGTCTCCAAATGGCGGACACTGTCTTGAAGCATCGAGCTGAGTTTGCCTTTGCTCAGCTTGAGAACGAAAGAGCTCTGACATCTCTTCGTGACGAGCTAAGGGTAGCTCGTGGGATTGTTGATCGGTCTCGGGATGAGATAAATGCTCTCCAGACCCTTGTCGATGCCCATCATCGGGGGCACAAGGCTCTCTGCGAGATGTTTGAGCGCAAGGGCGTTCTTCATAGGAAGAAGCAGCGTACTGATGGTACGGCTTAAGCCGACCAACGTAAAACGTGGGATGCGTTCGCATCTTACGTGGCAACTCGATCGTGTATGCATTGCCTAGGCGGTGCAATACACGAAATGGGCCGATGTACTGGAGCAGTAGTTTACTGCTACCCAAGTTAGTCACTACATGCTTTGGTAGATTAACCGTAGTCAGTAGGACTAAGTCACCTTTATTAAATAAAAGAGTGTTTGCCCTTCCATTCTTGTCAGCGTTTTGCTTTTGCTTGTCCACCGCTTCGGCGATGGAGTCTTGCACAAAACGGACTACCGTTTCACGAGCCAGTATGAACTCATCTGATGACTCGTTAGCTTCAGTGCGCTGTGAGTGCACTGCAGCAACATCAATCTTTTCTTCAGTGAGGGCTTCCGCAATCTCACTGGCATCATCTTCTTCGATATCGATGTTATCGATATCGGCATCAAACGCAATGACCTCTTCGTCAGAGCGTGATGAGCGTGAACCGAATCGGTTTTTGCTCGCGCGAGTCCCTCCCCACCTTACACCAGAGTTACACTCTAGTAAGGTGGGTACACGCGGATAGCGTAAGCCATTCACGTAAAACGGTGTATGTGTCGTGGACGCATGCACCGAGTTGTTAATGGCAAACTCTACCATTGGCAAAAACTCACTCCAACGATTAAAGGAGTATACGTATCCTCGAAGTATCTCTTCAAGGACACGATTGGCACGTTCCGTCTGACCATCTGACTCTGGATGATCAGATGTTGACATCTTCAAGCGCGTTCCGAGTGATTTGAACACGGAACGCCAGAAATCAGCAGTGAAGCGTGGATCTCTGTCTGATACGAGTTCACGGGGCAACCCATGAAGTCGGAAGATGGTGTCGATAAAGACCAAGCACAGCCACTTGCTGTGATTGACTCTGGTACAGCCACTGGGTGTACCATTTTGCTGAATCTGTCAACAAATACGAGAATACCCGTATTCCCGCGTGCGTCTTTGGGTAACCGAAGACGAAATCCATTGAGATGGATTCCCAGCACTCAGCCGGAACCGGTAGAGGCTGTAAAGGTGCACGCAGTGAAGGACTTGACTTCACTCGTTGGCAGACTTCGCATGCGCGAACATACTTTCGCACAAACTGATACTGGCGGGGCCAGTAAAAGTCTCGACTCACCGTGAGATATGTTTTCTCACAGCCACGAAGTCCTCCCATAGGAGCATCGTGATACTCGAACATGATCCGCAAACGCAGATCAGTATCATCTGGAATGACAACACGTGGTGTGTCACCAGAAACGGCTGTATAATACAGTAACCCGTTGCGAGTAGTGTATCGATCTGATGCAGATCGATACGCAGACGACAATCGTTTCAACGATTCTCGAGATGGTTGGGAGAGATGTGACAAAAACTTCACAATCTCACCATCTTGGGCGTATGCCCGCCTCACATCATCATGCAACGTTGAAGATGGTACTGAGGAAGTCATAACCGCAATAGTGACTGTCTCACTGTTGGGTTTCACGACTGTTTCAAAGTCGGGCCGACGTGAGAGTGCATCACCGACGACATTAAGTCGTCCTGGTTTGTACTCGACCGTAAAGTTGTATTCTGCAAAGAATGACAACCACCGCGCCATTCGTTGTGAAAGGTGCGGGCTGTTCACTGCCGTGCATAATGACGCATGGTCAGTGTAAAGAATGAAGGGTAATCTCCTAATAGATAGACTCTGAACTTCGCGAGTGCATACTTCATGGCAAGGAGTTTCTTGTCATGCACTGGATAGTTCCGCTCAGCTGGTTGCAGCTGACGCGACTGATAGCAGACGACGCTTTCAACGCCTTCAAGATCGTACTGCATTAATGCACAGCCGATTGCGAAAGCGCTGGAATCACAGACCACATGAAACGGCCTGTCCTGATCGGCTATTGCTAGGACTGGGGATTGTATCAAGCTCTGCTTGATATCATTAAAGGAGCGCTGACATTTAGCGTTCCATAACCACCTCTCGTTCTTTTTCAACAAACTAGAGAGATGCACAGTCATCTCGGCGTAATTGCGTGAATACTTATGCAAATACGCCGCTAGCCCAAGGAATTTTCGAAGACCTTTGACATCAACCGGCACAGGCCAGTCGGTGATCGCCTTGATCTTTCGGGACCAGGACGTACACCGTTCTTACCAACGATGCACCCAAGAAGTAGTATTTCGCTTGCTGCAAATATACACTTCTTGAGGTTTGCATACAAGTGATGCTTTCGCATGGTTGTAAGAACCTGTCGGACGTGGTACCTGTGAACCTCAACGTCCGACTTTCCATCCATAGCTCGACTATGGATGAATACGTCATCGAAATAACTCGGCGCGAATTCTCGTACTGGTCTCAACAGATGTGATACACATCTGTTGAACGTGGCAGGGGCATTACTGAGCCCTTGTGGCATTACTAGCCATTCCCAGAGCATGCCGCTAGGCGTGCTAACTGCGGTATAGGGTATATCCCGTTCCCGCATAAGGATTTGATAGAAGCCATCCATCAAATCCATGGACGAAAAGATGGTACTCTTTGACATACCATCAATGATTACGTCCTTCCTCGGTATCGGCGTCTGAGCCGGTACCGTTGCAGCATTCAATTTGTTAAATGCATGCACTATCCGCCGCCCTCCTGTTGCTTTTCGCACACAGATAGTCGGAGAGCTATGTGGGGAAGTTGATTCCCTCACATGGCCCGCAGCTAAACGATCGGCAAAGAATTTGTCGATCGCAAGTACTTGTTCACGAGGCAGTGGCCACTGCTTCATGACACAGTACTTGATGCCGACTATGTGGTCTATCGTAGCATATACGCTGCGTTGAGTATTCACCGAGAGTCGGCTCGACCGCAAAGAGCAAGGAGTAAAACTTCCCGTCCGGGAATTGAACCCGGGTCACCCGCGTGACAGGCAGGTATACTAACCACTATACTAACGAAAATCCCCAACCCTCATTCGAGCCTGGTTTAAGCTCGACCTCGTGTCGAATACCTTTATCCTTCGGTAATTCGCACGGAACAGTTTCAGGGAATACATCCTTGAATTCAACCAAATCTTCAAAGAGAGGATTTTTCTTGAGCGATTCCCACGATTGAGAGTCGTATCGCTCAACTCGTGTCTTTTCATCTAGGACACTCTCGTCCATAGATGAACTACTGAGAACTCTCTCGTTCTCAGTAAACACTGTTGCTGACCTTATGTCGGTTACACACTCGTCGTCAGCGACGAGTATGCAGATCTGCTTGACTTTGCCACTACGCAGATCACGCAAGAACCTTTTATGTTCGAGCGTTGGCAACTGAGTGGTCTCCGAAGTTAACTTCGGAGGCGCAATCAGATCAAGTGTATAAGCGCCTACACATGATCCGTTATTGACTATGACATTAAATGTCTCTGTCATTTCCTGGGGACTTATTCCCTCAGGCTTCGAAGGACTTATTCCTTCGTCTTCCCGGGGACTTATTCCCGCGGGTTTCGGGGAACTTATTTCCGCCGTATTTGTAATCTTGGGACTTATTCCCTTTACTTCCTCTAGCTGGGGTTGCGCAACCACAGCGAGATCCTCTACGAAGGACTCTCCAGTCGATCTAGGATTATCGTTTCGCTTAACCTGAGCGATCGATTGTTTCTCTTCTAGATGTTCCCCTCTAGGGATACATCTTTGTCCCAGTCCACTCGACTTATTTGAGTGGTGGACCTTCGGTGCAGCCTGTGTTTCCTCACAGCTGCCGGAACTTTGATCCGAAGTGTAATTGTTTGGTACACTAAGGTTTTGTGCAGTCGTACTAACGACCGTACCACAAGTGAGGCCATCGCACTCCCTCGTAGTACATCCACACGCTTGTGGACGCTCCAAAACGTTCATCAGATGGCCATCTGATGAACAAGCGGCAGGCATCGTTACTGTTCGATGTTGCTAGTTTACCCGTGGTTCGTACCTTCTGAGCCACGAAATTCCAAGGATGACATCACATTTGTCATCCAAATCCAATACGATAAAGTCATCGTCATATTGAATATCTTCTAGCGTATAGTGGATCTTCACTATACGCTTCATGACGGTTACGGATGCGCCTGTCGCAAGACGTACCGTCATCCTCGTAGGAGGTGTGTCACATTCACTGAATTTAAAGTGACCATCTTCTAGCGATTGGCGTCGCACAAAATTGTTGGACGCCCCACAATCGACTAGAGCTCGAAGGGACAACTTATTCGTCACTTCGAGTTTCAAGGTAATGAGTGAGATCTCATTACCTAGAGAAGCAACGCACAACGTTTGTGTGTTGGGAGCAACCTTCGTCAAGAGGCCTACAAATTTTATTGCATTGCTGGACCAGTAGGGTGCTCCGCACCTACTGATCCTGTCCGTTTTTTGATGGTCCATCCGGTTGTTGCGTCTTCAAACCAACAGCGGACCCGCGTCCCTGCCCCTTTCTCATGGGTGGACGGTCACTACGCCCAGTGTCGCGAGACACTGGACGAGGGGCACTACACTCGTAAGCGTAGTGTCCTGTCTTTTGACATCTGTTGCATCTCTGCAACTTCTTGTAGCCTGTAGAGCGAGCCTTCTCGCTCTCTACACAACAGAGTTCCATCGGCTCTGGACCTCCGGTGTCATATCGTCTCGGTTGACGATATGATGTCGAGCTGGCGCGAGCCTGTCTCAGACTGAAGTCTTCCTGTTCCGCAATGGAAATGGCTTGTTCTAGTGAATCTAGTTCAAGACGGAACAGGTGAGTCTTGACGGGACCATCCGCAAGACCATGCATGAACACCGAAACCAACGTGTGTTCATCCACCGGATTGGAACTTATACAACTCGTAAGATGTCGTATATGTTGCGCGTAAGCGTGCACATCACGCTTACCCTGCTTGAGCTTCAAGAGTTCGGTTCGAGCTCTGAACTCAGCTCTAGGCGGTTCAAACGTTTGTCTGAGCCGCGACTTGAAGACTTCCAACGACCCAAACGCATATGGGTCATGCAACTTGAGCCCCAGTGCCCAAGTCTTGGCACGTCCTGCCAGATTTGACTGGGCAAATGCAACTTGCATATCCCCGTCGTCGATGCGACGCGCCCTTATGGCGTCATCCAATTCGACGAACCATCTCAAGAGGGAGTCTTCTTCGACCCCCCTATACTTGGAGATGTCAATCTTCAAAGTCTCGGGTCGACGCGAGTGCATCGACCCACCAGCAGCATCCTGCTGCTGTCTCAACAGTTCAAACTGTTGAGCACCCTGTTCTCTCAACAACTCTGCTTGTTGAGAACCTTGTTGGTGAAGCAAGGCTACTTTCTCGCGTTCTGTGTCAAGTTCATTTTGAATGAACTTGGCGATAGTAGCATGTTGGGCATCTCTATTGAGAGCCTCTAGCATGACGCTAACAGCATGGATGCCCATGGTTGAACCCATTCGTTCAACCGCATCCCATTCGACATCGCTCAAATGGGAGTAGCCGTCACGCGTAGCGTGAAAGCTTTGGTCATCTTCATCATCTAACATATTCATGTTAGATGTGAACGTGGTCCTTGGACGGACTACGAAGTGCTACCAGGTGTAACGGGGCACCCTGAAGCTTGTACTGGTGAAAGTACAAGCTACTTATTCTGATGACAGAATAAGGCGGTGCCTCGTAACTTCACGTAAACTCGTACGTGCAGAGGAAGACGGTGAGAAGAAGCGAGTACTTGGTTAAAGTAAAAAGTAGAACTGTATTTATAGTAGTTAATGTCTGCAATAAATCACTATTTATCTTCATCTAACTATGTCTAAATACAAATGTGCACATCAATTAGCTGCTCACCACTCATTGCGTGCGTCTGTCGTGGCGCGTCTTCGTTGGTTGATGTAATGGCCCATGTCAACCAATTAGGAACTACTCGTAAGTGCTACATAATATTTGTCCTTATGACAATATTCTGAGAATATAACTCTTGTAGTTATATTCTATTAACAATTTCTTATAAATTGTTATGTAACGATTCATCCCGTTACAGGACGGAGATCAACGCTTAATGTAAATGGGGCCTTGTCTTCAAAGCGGACCCGCAGCTTCACCAGTTCCGTGTTCGGTACCGAATGTGACGCCAAATCGGTCCATTACATAGGCTTTTGATGCCTAAACTTTCCGGTATTGCAAAAAAAGTATTCGCCGATTCTATGCAGAAATTTGATGCCCAACTTGTAACGGGGTGAATCGTTACATAACAATTTATAAGAAATTGTTAATAGAATATAACTATAAGAGTTATATTCTCAGAATATTGTCATAAGGACAATATCCTGTAGCACTTCCAAGTAGTTCCTAATTGGTTGATATAGGCCATTATATCAACCAACGAAGACGCGCCACGACAGACGCACGCAATGAGTGGTGAGCAGATAACTGATTTACACATTTGTATTTAGACATAGTTAGATGAAGATAAATAGTGATTTATTGCAGACATTAACTATTATAAATACAGTTCTACTTTTTACTCTAACCGAGTACTCGCTTCTTCTTACCGTCTTCCTCTGCACGTACGAGTGTACGTGAAGTTACGAGGCACCGCCTTATTCTGTTATCAGAATAAGTAGCTTGTACTGTCACCAGTACAAGCTTCAGGGTGCCCCGTTACACCTGGTAGCACTTCGTAGTCCGTCCAAGGACCGCGTTCACATCCAACATGAATATGTTGGATGATGAAGATGACCAAAGCTTTCACGCTACGCGTGACGGCTACTCCCATTTGAGCGATGTCGAATGGGATGCGGTTGAACGAATGGGTTCGACCATGGGCATCCATGCTGTTAGCGTCATGCTAGAGGCTCTCAATAGAGATGCCCAACATGCTACTATCGCCAAGTTCATTCAAAATGAACTTGACGCAGAACGCGAGAAAGTAGCCTTGCTTCACCAACAAGGTTCTCAACAAGCAGAGTTGTTGAGAGAACAAGGTGCTCAACAGTTTGAACTGTTGAGACAGCAGCAGGCTGCTGCTGGCGGGTCGATGCACTCGCGTCGGCCCGAGACTTTGAAGATTGACATCTCAAAGTATAGGGGGTCGAAGAAGACTCCCTCTTGAGATGGTTCGTCGAATTGGATGACGCCATAAGGGCGCGTCGCATCGACGACGGGGATATGCAAGTTGCATTTGCCCAGTCAAATCTGGCAGGACGTGCCAAGACTTGGGCACTGGGGCTCAAGCTGCACGACCCATATGCGTTTGGGTCGTTGGAAGTCTTCAAGTCGCGGCTCAGACAAACGTTTGAACCGCCTAGAGCTGAGTTCAGAGCTCGAACCGAACTCTTGAAGCTCAAGCAGGGTAAGCGTGATGTGCACGCTTACGCTCAACATATACGACATCTCACGAGTTGTATAAGTTCCAATCCAGTGGATGAACACACGTTGGTTTCGGTGTTCATGCAGGGTCTTGCGGATGGTCCCGTCAAGACTCACCTGTTCCGGCTTGAACTAGATTCACTAGAACAAGCCATTTCAATTGCGGAGCAGGAAGACTTCAGTCTGAGACAGGCTCGCGCCAGCTCGACATCATATCGTCAACCGAGACGATATGACAACGGAGGTCCAGAGCCGATGGAACTCTGTTATGTAGAGAGCGAGAAGGCTCGCTCTACAGGCTACAAGAAGTTGCAGAGATGCAACAGATGTCAAAAGACAGGACACTACGCTTACGAGTGTAGTGCCCCTCGTCCAGTGTCTCGCGACACTGGGCGTAGTGACCGTCCACCCATGAGAAAGGGGCAGGGACGAGGGTCCGCAGTTGATGCAAAGACGCAACAACGGGATGGACCGTCAAAACGGACAGGATCAGTAGGTGCGGAGCACCCTACTGATCCAGCAACGTCAAGAGAATTTGTAGGCCTCTTGATGAAGGTTGCTCCCAACACACAGACATTGTGCGTTGCTGCTCTAGGTAATGAGATCTCACTCATTACCTTGAAACTCGAAGTGACGAATAAGTTGTCCCTTCGAGCTCTAGTCGATTGTGGGGCGTCCAACAATTTTGTGCGACGCCAATCGCTAGAAGATGGTCACTTTAAATTCAGTGAATGTGACACACCTCCTACGAGGATGACGGTACGTCTTGCGACAGGCGCATCCGTAACCGTCATGAAGCGTATAGTGAAGATCCACTAAACGCTAGAAGATACCCAATATGACGATGACTTTATCGTATTAAATTTGGATGACAAATTTGATGTCATCCTTGGAATACCGTCGTGGCTCAGAAGGTACGAACCACGGGTAAACTGGCAACATCGAACAGTAACGATGCCTGCCGCTTGTTCATCAGATGGCCATCTGATGAACGTTTTGGAGCGTCCACAAGCGTGTGGATGTACTACGAGTGAGTGCGATGGCCTCACTTGTGGTACGGTCGTTAGTACGACTGCACAAAACCTTAGTGTACCAAACGGTTACACTTCGGAGCAAAGTTCCGGCGGCTGTGAGGAAACACAGGCTGCGCCGAAGGTCCACCACTCGAATAAGTCGGGTGGACTGGGACAAAGATGTATCCCTAGAGGGGAACATCTAGAAGAGAAACAATCGATCGCTCAGGTTAAGCGAAACGATAATCCTAGATCGACTGGAGAGTCTTTCGTAGAGGATCTCGCTGTGGTTGCGCAACCCCAGCTAGAGGAAGTAAAGGGAATAAGTCCCAAGATTACAAATACGGCGGAAATAAGTTCCCCGAAACCCGCGGGAATAAGTCCCCGGGAAGACGAAGGAATAAGTCCTTCGAAGCCTGAGGGAATAAGTCCCCAGGAAATGACAGAGACATTTAATGTCATAGTCAATAACGGATCATGTGTAGGCGCTTATACACTTGATCTGATTGCGCCTCCGAAGTTAACTTCGGAGATCACTCAGTTGCCAACGCTCGAACATAAAAGGTTCTTGCGTGATCTGCGTAGTGGCAAAGTCAAGCATATCTGCGTACTCGTCGCTGACGACGAGTGTGTAACCGACATAAGGTCAGCAACAGTGTTTACTGAGAACGAGAGAGTTCTCAGTAGTTCATCTATGGACGAGAGTGTCCTAGATGAAAAGACACGAATTGAGCGATATGAGTCCCAATCATGGGAATCGCTCAAGGAAAACCCTCTCTATGAGGATTTGGTTGAATTCAAGGATGTATTCCCTGAAACTGTTCCGTGCGAATTACCGAAGGATAAAGGTATTCGACACGAAGTCGAGCTTAAACCAGGCTCGAAGTACTGTGTCATGAAGCAGTGGCCACTGCCTCGTGAACAAGTACTTGCGATCGACAAGTTCTTTGCCGATCGTTTAGCAGCCAGGCCATGTGAGGGAATCAACTTCCCCACATAGCTCTCCGACCTTCTGTGTGCGAAAAGCAACAGGAGGGTGGCGGATAGTGCACGCGTTTAACAAATTGAACGCTGCAACGGTACCGGCTCAGACGCCGATACCGAGGAAGGACGTAATCATTGATGGTATGTCAAAGAGTACCATCTTTTCGTCCATGGATTTGATGGATGGCTTCTATCAAATCCTAATGCGGGAACAGGATATACCCTATACCGCAGTTAGCACGCCTAGCGGCATGCTCTGGGAATGGCTAGTAATGCCACAAGGGCTCAGTAATGCCCCTGCCACGTTCAACAGGTGTGTATCACATCTGTTGAGGCCAGTACGAGAATTCGCGCCGAGTTATTTCGATGACGTATTCATCCATAGTCGAGCTATGGATGGAAAGTCGGACGTTGAGGTTCACAAGTACCACGTCCGACAAGTTCTTACAATCATGCGAAAGCATCAATTGTATGCAAACCTCAAGAAGTGTATATTTGCAGCAAGCGAAATACCACTTCTTGGGTGCATCGTTGGTAAGAACGGTGTACGTCCTGATCCCGAAAAGATCAAGGCGATCACCGACTGGCCCGTGCCGGTCGATGTCAAAGGTCTTCGAAAATTCCTTGGGCTAGCGGCGTATTTGCATAAGTATTCACGCAATTACGCCGAGATGACTGTACACCTCTCTCGTTTGTTGAAAAAGAACGAGAGGTGGTTATGGAACGCTGAATGTCAACGCTCCTTTGAGGGTATCAAGCAGAGCTTGATACAATCCCCAGTCCTAGCAATAGCCGATCAGGACAGGCCATTTCATGTGGTCTGTGATGCCAGCGATTTCGCAATCGGCTGTGCATTAATGCAGTACGACCTTGAAGGCGTTGAACGCGTCGTCTGCTATCAGTCGCGTCAGCTGCAACCAGCTGAGCGGAACTATCCAGTGCATGACAAGGAACTCCTTGCCATGAAGTATGCACTAGCGAAGTTCAGAGTCTATCTATTAGGAGATAGACCCTTCGTTGTTTACACTGACCATGCGTCCTTACGCACGGCAGTGAACAGCCCGCACCTTTCACAACGAATGGCGCGGTGGTTGTCATTCTTTGCAGAATACAACTTTACGGTCGAGTACAAACCAGGACGACTTAATGTCGTCGCTGATGCACTCTCACGTCGTCCCGACTTTGAAACAGTCGCGAAACCCAACAGTGAGACAGTCACTGTTGCGGTTATGACGTCCTCAGTTCCATCTACAACGTTGTATGATGATGTGAGGCGGGCATACGCCCAAGATGGTGAGATAGTGAAGTTGTTGTCACATCTCTCCCAACCATCTCGAGAATCGTTGAAACGATTGTCGTCTGCGTATCGATCTGCATCAGATCGATACACTACTCGTAACGGTTTACTGTACTATACAGCCGTTTCTGGTGACACACCACGTGTTGTCATTCCAGATGATACTGATCTGCGTTTGCGGATCATGTTCGAGTATCACGATGCTCCTATAGGAGGACATCGTGGCCGAGAGAAAACATATCTCACGGTAAGTCGAGACTTTTACTGGCCCCGCCAGTATCAGTTTGTGCGAAAGTATGTTCGCGCATGCGAAGTCTGCCAACGAGTGAAGTCAAGTCCTTCACTGCGTGCACCTTTACAGCCTCTACCGGTTCCGGCTGAGTGCTGGGAATCCATCTCAATGGATTTCGTCTTCGGGTTACCCAAAGACGCACGCGGGAATACGGGTATTCTCGTATTTGTTGACAGATTCAGCAAAATGGTACACCTTGTGGCTGTACCAGAGACAATCACGGCAAGTGGCTGTGCTTGTGTCTTTATTGACACCATCTTCCGACTTCATGGGTTGCCCCGTGAACTCGTATCAGACAGAGATCCACGCTTCACTGCTGATTTCTGGCGTTCCGTGTTCAAATCACTCGGAACGCGCTTGAAGATGTCAACATCTGATCATCCAGAGTCAGATGGTCAGACGGAACGTGCCAATCGTGTCCTTGAAGAGATACTTCGAGGATACGTACACTCCTTTAAGAGTTGGAGTGAGTTTTTGCCGATGGTAGAGTTTGCCATCAACAACTCGGTGCATGCGTCCACGAGACATACACCGTTTTACGTGAATGGCTTGCGCCATCCGCGTGTACCCACCTTACTAGAGTGTAACTCTGGTTTAAGGGGGAGGGACTCGCGCGAGCAAAAACCGATTTGGTTCACGCTCATCACGCTCTGACGAAGAAGTCATTGCGTTTGATGCCGATATCGATAACATCGATATCGAAGAAGATGATGCCAGTGAGAGTGCGGAAGCCCTCACTGAAGACAATGATCCCAGTGAGAGTGCGGAAGCCCTCACTGAAGAAAAGGTTGTTGTCGCTGCAGTGCGCTCACAGCACACTGAAGCTAACGAGTCATCAGATGAGTTCATACTGGCTCGTGAAACGGTAGTCCGTTTTGTGCAAGACTCCATCGCCGAAGCGGTGGATAAGCAAAAGCAAAACGCTGACAAGAATGGAAGGGCAAACACTCTTTTATTTAATAAAGGTGACTTAGTCCTACTGTCTACGGTTAATCTACCCAAACATGTAGTGACTAACTTGGGTAGCAGTAAACTACTACCCAAGTACATTGGCCCATTTCGTGTATTGCACCGCCTAGGCAATGCATACACGATCGAGTTACCACGTAAGATGCGAACGCATCCCACGTTTTACGTTGGTCGGCTTAAGCCGTACCATCAGTACGCTGCTTCTTCCGATGAAGAACGCCCTTGCGCTCAAGCATCTCGCAGAGAGCCTTGTGCTCCCGATGGTGGGCATCAACAAGGGTCTGAAGAGCAGTTATCTCAGCCCGAGACCGATCAACAATCCCACGAGCTACCCCTTAGCTCGTCACGAAGAGATGTCAGAGATCTCTCGTTCTCAAGCTGAGCAAAGGCAAACTCAGCTCGATGCTTCGAGGCAGTGTCCACCATCTGGAGACGCCTATTCCGCTCATGCTCGAGATCGTCGCGTAACCCTTGCGTTACGCGATCAAAGAAGCTCTCGGGAACACACCGATCCACATGATCGTGTGGAGAGCGTCTTTCCTCCTCCTCCACCTCCATTAGAGGACTCTCGCGGTGGCCAGCGCTATCTAGTAGAGCAGCTGTTGAACCACCGCGACGTGAACGGACGTCGGACGAGTTACCTCGTCCGGTGGCGCGGCTATCCCCCGTCCTGGGATTCTTGGGAGCCCCGCTCCCAATTGATGGTTGACGTACTGGGTCTGGTCGAGCAGTACGACGCGACACATCCTGTGCCGCAGAAGGACCGCCGGAGAAAGTCTTCCCGGCACGGTCGTAAAGGGATTTCAGGTTGTCAATCCCTTCGTACATCTCAGTAGAGACACGTACGCGCCACCACGGGCTGGTAAGGAGGTAAGCCTCCTTAGGTGCTCGTGCAGAGTTGTTCACACAACATGGGCACGAGTCTCCCCAAGAGAGGCAGGGTAATCCTTTCTCCCTTGACAGACGATGCAGCTTATAGCGTGCACCTGTCGGGGTTCGCTTTTCAAACTTATCACGAGCTTTGATAAGTTTGTCGTTCCAAGCGTCACGACCTACATCCTCGAGATTATGGATGTAGGCGTTCCACGCCTGAAGTAGTGAGGGACCATCACGTTTGTGATTCCCACTGTACCATCGATGTCTGAAGAAAGCATCGATGAAGAACTCATGTTCAGCGCGATAGTCTTTCGCGCTGGGGTCAAGGTGATGGATCCTTGACGAATCGAACAATCGTGTTCGATAACGATCACTCGTCGTCGCCGAC